CTGGAAAAATTACTGAAAGGATATATAAGAACAGGAGCAAGCACTAGATCCATCGAAGCAAGGACTACCGCATCCGACAGGGCTCAAGGTGAAGAATCAGCAAAAAATACTCAGAAAAGTCCAGTACATAGTGGTAGGATGCAAGATGCAGACAAGAATAGCATATTCTAAAAGTCAAATAGATGGGATTGCCTGCAGAAAAGCAGGAGTATCTGCTCAGTATATGACCATCCCAAGACCGGTTGGAGATTTTGCTAAAATGGATGAACAGATATAATACAAATAAGTATTATCTAATCAACCAGACATCATGGTGGTTAAGAGAAATCAGAAAAAAGCTATGGTAATAGATATATCAATATCCAAGTGACAAAAACATCAAGAAGAAATAATATGAGAAGCTAGAACAATACGAGGGAGCTGAAAAAAGAGCTAAAGAAGATATGAAGTTCAAAATAATCGCAGAGTATGAGCACATGGAGTTGTGACTCTTGTGCTAGAAAAATGGCTCAAACAGATTCCACGAATATCTTTCTTATTCTATCCATAAGAACGCATTACTAAGAGCAGTTATGCGCAGAATACTCGGACTGGTAGAAAAAGGGCCATATATAAATATATATATATATATATATATATATAAGTAGAGTTTAACATTTTTTAAAATTTATAACCTTTTTTTTAAGAGTTTACAATTTAGAGTCTTGCATTATATACAAAAAGAAAAGCTTAAAAAGATTTCGCCATAGTTACAGTACTGTTTCCTAATCAAATAAACCCTTTTTTATCTGCGAAAACATAAGAAATGGTTCAATATGCTTGCGAATAAACGAAAAATAATAAAATATTTGTATGTTTGGTAAGTATTAGCTTGTTAAACCATACAACTTTTCGTCCTTTAGATGAGAATATATCCAAAAAGTTACAAAAAAAACGATTCTGATTTTCATTAAACCTATTCAAAATTTAATTAACAACGATAAAGTAACTGAACAAAACAAAAGGCGAATTAAGAAATCAACCATTATTTGACGAAATTTGTATATTTCATTCATTTGTTAAAAACTGAAAAAAGCAGTTTTTAGTTCAAAATGAATTTTATAAATGATTTTGTCTAAAAATTTGAAGAGGGAAATTAGAAGGAGATTAGAGATTACAATAAAAATGAAAAAGAAGATTGGATATATTACAGATTAAAGATGGCTGAGATGCCTAAGTGAAGTTTGAAAGTACATATTGATGGAACGAATTTTTGTCACCGCATTTACAGCATTTACAGCTGGTCTAATAACTTTGATTTTTGCAGTTGCTCAAAACTTGAAAAAAATATTCATTCCAATCTTCGCTATATCATCTTGATTTTTATCCAATATTACTTTTAAAATCTAAGATAATTATAGACTCAGTATCGAATTAAAAATCTTTATTATTAAAAATTATTATTATTAGAAAATCTCAAAAATTGTTGAATTTTAGAATTTGTTGAAAATATATTAATTATAATTATATAAATATATTAATTATTTTAATTATTTCCTTAATAAGTTCGCGTAAAAATTTAATTATTTAAGAAATCCGCATTATGAATATGAGGTAAACAGTAAAGAATCAGGAAATTTATTTTATTTCCTTTTTATAAATTTTCAACTCTTTTAGAAGAAAATATAATTTTAAATGTTTATAGCTATTCAAATTTGCATGGTTTATTAAACAAGAGATTTATTATTTATTTATTATCGAGCATAACTATAAATGCAATTAAAAAAACTGATTTTTTCCATAGTTTTTTTGTGACATTTTATTTTTTTGCATGGTTTAAATAATTTTTTTTATTAAAACCAAATGATTCACTTAAAAAATTTTTTTAATTTACCAAAACAAATTTCGATCTTTTTTCATTTTTTGCGAGAAGAAACCAAGTCCTTCTGTAATTTTTCTTTTAGATTTTTATAGAATATGAATTTGTATGCAAAAAAGTTTTGTTTTGTTTTTGTTAGCAGTAAATTATCATAATTTTATAGTTTTTGACTTGTACATTGCAATTCATTTAAAAAAATAAGAGATTAAATATCTTTTTATTTGTTATTTACCATCCATGTGTTTAATGAAACAAAAAGATTTAAATGTTTATTAGTCGATTTCGAAGCCATTAAGACATTGAGTTAAATGAAATATTTCTGGCTAAATATTTTTGGTTGTCAGATCAATTAGCATACCTTCGCAGCCAATGGAAGCAACCAAGCCAATAATGGAACGATTAATAAAAAAATATGAGCAAAAGATTTTGATTATATTAAAAACACAAGTAATCATTATAGGTTTATAGGTTTATAAGAGTTCAAAATATTTGCTAGATGAATATAAAATGCTAAAGTTATGGCTGAAACGTCTGTTGTTTCATCTAATGCCAGTCGATTTTGCCTCTCGATGCGAATAAATTTGCCATTAACAATCTAATTGCATTTTCCATCAGAAACTCGCAAGTGAAGATGTTTCATTCTACTTTGTAATCAGTAAGGCCAGCCAAATAGAAAATTCTAAACAACTACTTTAGAAGAAATACAGCAAAAGGAGAGCGTGATCATCGAGTGATTAAATTATTTCTATTTCAATCACGTGGATGTGATTCCATCTTTTATCGAGAATATCTATTATAGGTGAAATTCAGTTGATGCTGGAGATCCTCCAATATTTTTGTTGTTTGCCAAGCTGATCTCTGTTGAAGATTTATTAAGAAATGGTTATATAAATAGCTGAAGATACGAATATATTTTTGAATCTTAATCATGTCTCTATTCCATTTATCTTATAATATTTCCAAAATTTTATTAAATAATTTTTATTAGAGAATTCAGATAAAAACATTTTAAATTAATAAATTTTTTTTTCTATATATCCAATAAAGCTCCGACTTAATCAACTTCAATTCAATTGCGAATGTGGGCAGAATATTGTTTTGCTTTATTGTTTTAATTAGATCGATCAGAAAAGTTATGCACAAAGTATTAACTGCGTATTATATTGCATTTTTTATCACTTTTAACGAGGCATATGGCACATCATGCTTTCCAACAAAAAAGGTAGCAAATAAATTTGTAAATGCAGAGTATAATGAATTTCAAAATGCGCAAAAGCGAAAAAATCTCTGTAATCGACGAGAAATAGTTCACAAGATAAAGATAATTTATTATTAACAAATAATATAAAAAAATATAAATCTGATGGATTAATTAAATTTAAGTAAAAATAAAATAAGAATGAAGGAAAATAGCTTTGTTCATCCCCTTATCTTGATGTATGACTTTTAATTGTTTATATACTTTAGTTATGTAGTCAGTTATTTAGGGATAGTATGATGGCGAAGTCTGTTGCTTCAACTAAGATAAAGCCATTGGTTCCATATCTGTCCACTGAGAAACGCAAACTTGCCATGAAGGGTGAATTCAAGTGGACCCATATGTAGTTTTATCTCTAAGTAATTCTCTGGTCTGTAGAAGCTTGTAGCCAATAAACCAGAAACGATAAGGGAGATCTTCCTAGAAAAAGAAAAAATTTTCGAAAAAAATTCATATATTTTTGAAATTAAAATATCTTTTAAATATCTTTTTTTCTTATCTTTTTCTTTTATCTTTTTAAATATCTTTTTAAATAAGCGCTATTATGGCAAAAAGCCTTTAATTTCTAATAGTTCCCATCTCTACTGGTAAGGCTGGTTCCAATGGCTACAGAGGCAAGATGTTCCAAACTGCTCGATCTGGCGCCATCTCTGATAAAAGCTACTCCTTTTTCCACCGTTAATGTTCATATACTGCTGGTCTTTCTACACGTCCAAAATCTTCTCTGACTATATTTTGATTGGTCCATCTCACTTTTGACGCCATCCATCATAGGGTTTGGTAAGTGGCGAAATATACACCGTTAATTTTTGTGGTGGGCGATGAAGAGAGTGCCAAAAATACTATTTGAGTGAAGGTGGGTGCGATCATATGATATTTCATCCGCTCGGCGAACTCGTAAAATGTATCCTACGCATGAGTGGTCAAAGATACATAACTTCTTAATATCCTCTACTCTCATCAGCCATGCATTGCAGCCATATAGCAAGTTCGAATTGCAGCGGTATGGACGCGGGCATTTGTTTTTATGGTAAGTTCACAATGGATCCAGAAATTATTTCCTGTTGCGCTGGTGTTCTCATTTATGAACATATGACAAGCGATTCAGCTATAACGTGCGCAACAGATGGCACATTATGGTTAAGTTTGGAATTCCTTCTATCTTACGAGGCTATCTCTAATATTTTTAACAGGCATACCATTGCTATTCCGTACCATTTCACCAATTGTCTCCTGAGTTATAGTTGGTTTATGAAAGTGGATTAGTATCCTATTGTCGAATCGCCGTCTCCATTTCCTAGGCCATATCGCTCCAATAGCGATTTCTGTCCCGCCATGCTGCTGTCGTTTTAATTTAACAAAGCACCGGTATTCAGAACCTTGCGACATTCATACTTTGGCAACTTTTCCAAACAGTTAGACAATTGCTTCCGGTACCCAACTAACTTATCTGACGTTTAATGCTACGACGGCTAACTTCGCCATGCATTTAGAGAGTCGATCCCCTTGATAAGTTTCGAGCAATTACTCTGGTTCGCGAATCCATGTTATTCACCTTGGTTATTTTACCCGGTTTGTGCATTTCTTGCATGTACCACCGGACTGGGAATATTATGCGCGTCAGAGGATGTGGACATCGCGTCAAGAGTATCAGATCCTTTCAGATTCACAGAGTCACTTGAGGATAGAGTTACTCCTAGAAAAGAGATTCACTTAAATTTGGCTATTTGGTGGTGGATGATAGGCGAATGAAATGAACTGTGCTTAAGTTGACATTTATATTGCCTGAACTAAATATTTTTTATTTTAAATATTTTTGATGGCTGAACCAAAGATTCACTTATCTATTGGTTGCTATAGTTTCTATATTCGCACTCGCTGAAAATGAATTTCAATGACAAAGCAAAAGATTGGAGGCTGAAAACATGGCGCCTTAGAATGTGCAGTGGTGAAGAAGAAAAAGATTATGATTTAAGGCTCATCGAAATGAATTCAACTATATTTGGAAATTTATTCAACGTTTAGACAAAACTTTCTAGATCAAAGCTATTGCTTCATTCTTTTTATCGATGATTTTAAAAAGTTGTTCAATTCTAACAAAATTTTTTAATAATAAAGAAATTTTATTTAAGGCTAAAATGCAAAATGTCGACGAATATAAACCATACAGTTTAATGCAAAAAATATTAGCTGAATTTATTGCTGTTACAATCCTCACATTCGTCGGTAAGTAATATTGCTTTGCGATTTTCTTTTATAACGAATAGAAAAAAATTGCAATTTCCCATTCCACTGGTTATTTATACGATTAGAAATTTTTTCCTTAAAATTACTTTGCAATTGAAGTACAAATGGATCTCCCGCACCGTGGTGAATTTTTTATAACGAATTCGTTCTATCGGAAGCAAAGTCTGAATTTTAAATCTATTCTAATCTAAGCATTCTGTTGTTATAAAAGAGTGTCAGTGTCATTTTAATGTTATAATGCTTTAATTTTTTACGAAATCTCTTTAAATTAATAGATATATATATAAAATTTTTTCTTAATAGCCAAAATTTATTTTCGATTTTCTTCCTATTTTTGTTCTTATTTAAACCCTCTTGGGTTTTTTTCGTAATTTTTTTTATTTAATATCACTTTTCTATCTCCATTCTTATATTTTTACTGAAATTCTGACTTGATGAATAGTTAATCTCTGAATATTTATCAATAATCTACCATAGAAGATTCAAGTACCTTTGCAGTAAAATCATGAATAGCCATAAATTTTTAGGAGCAACACATCAATTAACAAAAACAGCGCTTCTCAATACTAGTCTAGCTATTGGATGTACAATATTCGTTTTAGCATGTTCGTTTGGCCGTATAAGGTTAACTTGCAAATTTTTCCAGGAATTAGTTTAAGCTAATCTCATCCTTGCATCGTTTTTATTTTCGAAAATTATAAAAATTTAATCCATGATAAAAATTTTCTAATTAAATATATTGCAAAGGATAAAAAAAAATGTTTTGACTAATTAAATAATTGAATATTTTATAGCGGTGCATTATTTAATCCAGCTGTGACATCATGTGTAATGTTTTGCGGCAAAATACAACCGTTGTGTGCATTTGCGCTTATTTCTGCACAATTATTTGGCTCAATTTGTGGTGCATTAATTTTTAAGGTAAATTTTCAATTAAGGAAAGTTTATCGGAAAGCAAAAATTCCAGAAAATGTGTGTAGAAAGTGCAAAAGTTTGTATTTTTTGTTAATTATACAATTTTGGCAAAAAAAATCGAAATTTTTATGGAGCAATTGCTTTTTATTTCAGTCATTATGCACGATAGCAGAATATAAAGGAATATTTGATAATGTACCGAATGGTTTCACATGGTGGCAAGTAATAGCATATTTTAAATATTAGAAAAAATTCGAATAAAATATCCATTTCTAAAATTTCCAAGTGATTAATTTTAGCACTTAATTGCCGAAATTTGTGTGACGTTTATATTATGTCAAACTGTGATGCTTACAGCAGTTGATATACAAAACTTCGTAATGGCACCACTGGCTATTGGCCTAGCCCATACATTGAATATTTTGGCAACGTTAGTAGCCTTTTATTCATCATTGTTACTATAATATTATTATTATTAATATTATCATTTTAACTTTTATTAGCACCAATAGTAATCCGCAATTCAAGCAAATTTCAAAGCGTAATATGTCAGATCTTGAATAAACTTATGCATTTTACTGACAATTACAATGAAATGCAAATAATGTTAAACGATGTATCGACAATTCCTGCGAGAACCGTGACGAAAGTCTTTTGGTCTTATATACAAGAAGATATACAAGAAGACAAAATATTTCCATTCTCAATTTATGAAGTGCCAGATTTCAAATGTCTTCCTCTATCCTCTAATCCCAAACAGTCAAGTGAAAAATGAAACTATAAGCCAGATGGCGGTAGAAACATTTAGCGGAACCTTTATGGAGCTGTCGCGAAATCACCATCAAAATGAAAATCCGCGTCTATATAGCTGCAATTCGTTCGATGTTGCTATATGCTACGAGACAATGAAAGTATAGGATATTAAGAAGTTATCTTCTTTTGACCACTTATATCATTTTATGAATCCATTGAACGGATAAAATCGCACATGACCTCGTCCACCTTACCTTCTACACCACTTGTTATTAGCAGTATCATCATAAAGCGTCGGCCTTCACTGGTTAGGACACATTCTTCGTCGTCCACCACAGAAGTTAACTTAAATTTTGTTACTCACTAAGCTTTATGGTTCAAAAGCGATAAGGGCCAATTGAGACCTGGATTGATATGGTTAGAAAAGATTTTGAACGTATAGAAATATATGGAATCAGTCAGTTGAAATAGGAATGGTTTCTATTGTTGCTGACGATGGCATAGGATCGAATAGCTTGGAAACGTCTTACACTGTAGCCAGCGGAGCCAACCTAACTAGTAAAGCTGTTAGAAAAATTACTAATATTCCTTGATATATTTCTTAGGCTAATGTAATGTAAATAAACTAAACGTAATATACATAATAAATATAAAAATAAAATAAAAAAATAGAAAAGAAAACAATTTTAAAATAAAGCTGTTAGAAAAATTACTAATAATATTCCTTGATCTTTATTATTTACCAATTCATTTTTCCTTCAGCTGGCTCCATAAATACTCCAAAATATAATACATTGTAAATATAATACGTTTAAAAATAATATACCGTGGTTTTTAGTGTGAGCTTTATGTTTGATGAGAACGAGCAAGATTTTGTATATTTGGAAGAAAGTTCATTAAATCAAAACTTTTTCTTTTTCTACTTTTCAAAATCTTTTCAAAATCCACTTTTTGCGGGCCTTACGTTATCGTACGATTGACTCAAACAGATTCAATTAGATAAATATTTGAAAAACTTAAGAAAAATTTTTTTGTTTCATCGCAAAGCTGGGGAATTTCCTTGCAATTTTTGCATTAATCCGGCTATTTTGCCAATACAAATGTGCAAGATATTCTTACGCTCCAAATGATCTATCTATTCTTTGTTCAATCAGTTCTGATTGCGTGGAGATCTGTTAGCGATTGTATGGCTTAGGCCCCATTCAAAAAGAGACTCTGTAACGCCTATTAGTATGTTTATATATGTTACTTGGCTGTAAAAATAAGTTTTTTTTATGGAACTTAAGCTAACTCTCACAAAATCTCTCTCCCAAAAGATAAAATTTTCTCCCAAAAGATAAAATGGTCACAATCAAGTAAAACTGGAATGTGCTGTCACTAGGTCATAGTGCTGCCATGGTCACGAGATATTTAGTCGGCATATATGGCGTTAGGATGCACCAATGAAGAACTTGCCACTTTCTTACTTAAATGAAAAATAAGAAGCTAATGCTTAAGCCACACACATGCAGTGGATAAGTAGAATATTTGTGGTGTAACAGAAGAATAACAGAAGAACGTTTTCTTCACTTTTTTTACATAAATTTCTTCACATAAATTTTTTGCTACTAATGCTTCCGAAGAAAGCATTTAGCCACGCTAAATTCTCTGGACAATACCAGGATTACTATGATCAGTCGTCACTGGAGGAATTAGATATTAGTTTATAAATCTAATGAATAAAAGGCATTAGGTTCTGTACCAACTATTTATTCCCAAATTTTTCCTAAAAAATTATTATCTTCTATATTATGTCAAATACAAATTTACGAAAGCTCTTTTGTAACTGCGAATCTCTATATATAATATTAGGCATCAAAACTCTTTATCATTTTCTTCTCAAGACGAAAGAGACGATTTTATAGGGCAATAAAGTTAACATAATTGGCAGTTTTTATGGTGGAAAGAGTACTATGCAATCGTCCTTTTTTGTAACCAGATATTGTCGATTATGAATTAAAAAGAGAAAACAGCTGGTGTACAATTTTTTAGGTGCTCTAGAAAATCCTTTGTTCCCTATCATCGATCCGGCTCCACCTATAACATAGAATATGTTGATTCGTCAATTTGCAAGGAGAACTATTTGATTTATAGTAGTTCAAATAGCTATTTTTCAACTAGCCATCCGATATTTAATAGAAAATTTTTTATTTCTCGACCATTTTGGTCAATTATCGCAGGAGCCACCAAGCACTGCAGAAAAAGGAAGTTCTCTCAAATATTGTGCGGTTTTCCACTTTTGACATTTGAATTTGAAATTCCCGTCATGCGACCAGTTCATGATAAAAACCTTTTAATGCGCCGTTAATAAATATTATTAATATTATTGCTACCCTTTATTAATATTTATATTATTGCTACCCTTTCTTCAAAATCGTTGCATAGGCTCTAGAAATACTCCAACTGCTAATTCTTTTTGCTTTTGTGAGTTGTTTGCAAATGTGCCTTAAGCTTTTTATAGTCTAGTGATGAAGCCATAAAACTACAAGAAAGGCATTTAATGGAGTAATGCCAGAATTTTCTCTTCATTGCAGCAGCCACGAGTAAATAAATATTAAAATGAAAAACTATATATATATATATATATATATGTAATAAATATATTCATCTAAATAAAAACATATCCACAGAATGATTCGAAAAGAAATTAAATATTTGTATTGATTAAGTAGCTGCCTTACACAATAGTAGTTGATGGGAAATCAACTTGCCACTTTCTTACTTCAATGAAAAATAAGAAGAATATGCTTAAGCCACACACATGCAGTGGATGAGTAGAATATTTGTGGTGTAACAGATGCAATTTTTCACATTCAGTTATAGCTTCATTGTAAGATTAAAAATCATCCGAATCATGGCAAAGTTCACGAACTGCTCGTAATTGGATTTTCAATTAGGATTTTTATGTGCAATAAGAATTAATTTTTTCAACACAGGTTTTTTATATTTTTAAATTTTAATCAGTAGCATGGTTCTCCATTCTTCCAAATTTCTCCTATGGTCTCCAGAATATTTCATCTTCTCCTTTAAAGCTACGGTCCCAGTTCAAAACTACTTGCATGGACGACATTTTATAACAAAATATAGTGGTCATTCGAACAAAAGCTAATGCAGTCCTTCAGGAAATTATGCCCTTCGAAGGCAGATATTTTCTTATCTTCTTCCACTCTCATTGGCCATGATTGGCAACCTATAAGAGGATGCGCGTTGTAACCAACCAGATGTATGCGAACTTTGGTTCGAGATGATGTACTTATAATTATTTTTTTACCAAAAAACATCAACTGAAGAAGATAATATTGAATTTATTGCAATTAGTCGTGTTTTGATTTCGTATGCTTATTTTTTACGATGACTGGATTAATGGATTCAGTGATATGGTTTGCTTTTGAGAGTGGATTAGATGTTAAAGATGAAAAGCCAGAAAAAAACAGAAAAGGGGAATTATTCAATATAAACGTATTCATTGCCAGTTCTGACTCTTTTTCGTATTTTTTAACTCTGTTGGCACATCGAATTTTTAGTCTCACTTGGTTCTTTTCTAAATAAGTTATATTCAGAGGATTCATGCGCACAAGCATGAATCCAGCACCAGTTTTTGGCATTACTATTGTCGCATTATTCTTTGGAGTCCATGATTATCCGTGGACTTTCCATTCAATCTACTGGCTCGGTCCAGCAATTGCTATTTGCATAGAAGTTTTGTTGTTTAGGTAAATTTTTTTTTTGATTAATTCATTGAATTTCTTCTTCTTCTTTCTCAATTTTTTATTTTAATTCCTTAAAATTAATTATTTATTTTGCATTTGAATTATTATTCCTTCATTATTTTTCTTATTCCTTGGTACACTGGTTCGGTTAAAGATAAAGATCCGCCTAGAACTAAAGAATTTACGAATTTCCTCTGTACTAAGATTGTATTTTTTCGATTAAATTAAATTAATGTTTGCTTATTTTCTTGTAATATTATATTTTGAAATATATATCTGGAAAAAAAATTAAATATTATAATAAATAATTAAAACTTATTCAGACTATTCTTCCAACGAAAGAAATTGAATGATTGATAGCCATTCAACCATCGATTTGGTTGAATGATCTTTTTCCATGAAACTATAAGCGTGCAAAAAACGTTCAGCTGGCATTGTTCACCATATTGTTGCACTGATTAAAGAAACTTCATTTTTAACTGATTCCATACTAAACTCAAACGTCAAATAAACATTTGTAAGTATAATTATACACAATACTTCTTGACATGTTCGTTGTTCATTAAATAGCGATGATTGCCAATCAACCAACCATAATGACCCACAAGCGAGACAATTAATAAGTATTCAATTAAACAGTTTCATTTTTTTTCAATTTTCGTATATTGAAATAAAATTAAAAATAAATTATGCACATTTATAATTATCCACATAAGGTATGTTGAAGTTAAAAAGGCACATATTTTGGTATTTGAACAAATCCATGCGCGTAAACTCACCTAAATAAGGTGCATTGAAGCCTGAAATTGTTATATTTTGGAGCTTATTGAATATAAAACCTTCCTCGTTTTCATTCTTTAGGTATGATTAAAGAATTGTTATCAAAGTTAGGATAAATATTTGAAGTAGATATAATAAATAAAAATGGAACTTAACTGATGAAATTCATAACAAATAATGATAAAATTTTATAATATTTCGGAGTTCAATAATTGACAATAACAGGATATCTTTGAAATTATTTCACTGGGTAAATGAAAAAATAAGAAGAAAATCCAATTAGAACATTAAAATCCTTAATTGATAAGAGTAGCTTGATAATAGCTGGAGGAATCTGGTGCAGCAGCTCGGTTTGATACCCTTTGTGGCCAATACACGGTAGCATCGTATACCAGACCATGGTCACTGATGTGAAGAGGTCCATCACTGTTGCTGTAAAAACTGGAATACGGCATATCATTTCATTTTCTTATTCTTTGTCAGTTACCAAATATATGCACCAAAATCTAACTTGTATGCTCCAGTATAAGGATTTTGAGCGATTCTGATCGCTGTGTTCATTTGATTCATTGGATTGATCGAATAATCGTAACCATTAATATTATTAATCGAATTTCTAAGATATTTTGAAATTGCGCCTGTTTTATACTCTTTTAAAATATTCGCATAATTCATCTAGAATATCGATGCATCACTTCAAGAATTATTAACTATAAAAGTGTTTAAGTGTTCTTTTTCTCTTCCTTAAAGAGTCACTTGTAGGTATAGAAATATACTTATTCATTATCAAAAAGGTGATGTCCAGTGTATGTAAATAGTTTCATTAGGTAAATAAATAACAGTGAATTTCGCAAATTGTAGAAGAATTACGAAATACCTTATTTTGATCAGCATTCGTTCGAACCACTGGCAACATGTAATTTGTTGCATTTTGAAGATCATTGTTAACTCCTCGATAATTATTTTGGTAAAATTTTTCTTGTAAATTAGTTTGCAAATATTGATAATTGACATTTTTCATGGGATCATACATTAAATTAGTGTAAAGTAATGGGTGATGAGGCGTGCTTTGTGAATATAAGTCCGGACTGTAATAATATGAATGTGGTGATAAAACTTGATTTGCCAGGGGTGGTGTGGTTGAGCTTACCAAAGCTGTGTTGCCACTATATGCGTACGGATAAAGATATCGATCATTTCGGAGATTAATATGAATGACCGGAGCTGCAGAATTTACATATTATAATTTAAATATAATAAAATAAAAATAAATTATATCTTTAGCTGGACCTCGCAGCCAATAATTTGTATAGGCAAATTATTATAAGGGAATATTGCTAAAAATTTGGAACTAGATAAATTCTATCACAAAAATTTCGGTTCAAGATTTGCTTCACAATTAATGAATTTGAATGAATTTAATGCATAAAGATGTTTTGGTTGTTTTGGTTAATCATCAATTGTCTATTTATCATTTGAAATAAAATTTTTGAAATTTTTGATTTTCATTTAAAATTTAAAAAAATTTGTAATTATAGAACTTAAAGAATTTATAGAAAGACAAAATCTTAATGTTTTCAGTTTTCAAGTGGATTTTTACTTTTTTTTGAATGACTTAGTGAAATGAATATATTTTGTTTTAAATATTTTATTATATTTTAAAAATGCAGAAAAGAATCGAATAATTTAGAATTTTTTTTAAAATTAGTCAGTTTATACTGACAAGTCAATATGACACGTTGCTTTCACTTTGGTAAAGCATCTTGGATATTCCTTCGATAATAGTCATAAATTTGTCAGAAAAATAACATTCAAATGATTCTTTGACAAAAAAAGGGTTTCAGTCCAGCAGTTACTGAAGCCAGCCAAATCACAAATGATGAATATTGAGAAAAGAAACTTTAAACCAGTAATTTGATTCTGATCCGAAAAAAAATTTGTTTGAAAGTTGGTTGATAAATAATTTTTTCCTTATATTTAACAATGATTATTGGAGCTATAAAATGAAATTAATATAAAATTGTAAATCAAAATAGACTAAATTAATTTTACGAAATATTAAATATAATAGTTTATATGTAATATAGTGAAATATTTGCGTAATTTTCATAATTGCTATATATATGCTGTATGAAATATTATTTCTTTTTTTTTAAATAAATAAAATAATAAAGTAACCTAAGTTAGCCTAAGTTCACCATTTCTGGTTAGGCTGGCTTTGCCAGGCAGTCACTTGGCGATAAATCCAGGTGGTCATAAGCAATGACATCTGGATTTTTAACCCTGTCCCACCTATATCATTAGAATAATTATAAAATAAAAATTTAAAAGAATTTATAATTCATGAAATTTGTAGAATTTAAAGGATTTGTAGAAAAAAATAAATATTTTAAAATAAAAGGAAGCAAATAATCATCAATAATTCTAATAAATAATTTTTAAATTCTAAATTAGTGCATTTCAACATTATTCTTCTTATTACTTATGATTATTAAGGTTATCACCAAGCAGAGCAGACATCTTCGAGCACAACGCAGAGGAATTTGTTCTGAAGTGGTGAAAGCTTTTCTTGCGCATTCTAAAATATTTTTAAAAAAGTTCCTTTCCAAACTTACATTGCGTATCAAATGGTTCGGAAAATAATGTCAAGGAGAGAAATAGAATTTTCAGTTGTATTGCAGTATACATAATAAATAAATAATAGTTTATCGTTGTCGTTAAATGAAAGGAATGAAAGTGTTTCTGTTCAATTTCTAAGTTTATATAGTTGAATCATTAAAAGTTTTGTTTTGTTAATCGTTTTCAAGAAGCAAACGAATAGCAGTAATTCTTTATTATTATTTCTTTCTCACATTCAAAAAATTTTTTACGAATAGCAAATATTTTCATTTAATATTCATTAAAAATAGTACTTTGGTTTAATATTCATAGTAGAAAAAAAATTTTTCACCTGGAGAAAAAGACGAACACCACTCAGATTTTTTTTCAAATGACAAATTTATTCTCATCAAAAAACAAGATTCCGTGGCACTCAACTTCAGTTGAAGCAGCATGCCACTCGATCACCTTGTCTTCAAAAATTTAATGCCGAATTACCAAATTAAATATTTCAGCTTTAAAATATCCATAGTATAATTTCATCTTTTGTGTTGAAATCCTTTTTTTCCTTCTCCTCATTTATTTCTATCCTTTTAATTAATATTAAAAATTGAATTAGCTTCTTTTTTTGAAACAGCTCGAAGACACTTTGAATCGGCTAATTAATTATTTGTTATCCTATTTTGCTTCATTAATTAGTTAGTGTTTTTCGGTTATATGGATTATTTCAGGAGTTCATATGTTTATTTTCCTTTCTGTTTCCTTTTTTCCTTTTTTTTCTAACTGCAGCTCCGAAATGAGTAATAACCCACCAAACCATTTTATTTCCCTTTGCTTTCGCCGTTTGAAACATGGTGCATCGATCGGATTCGAACTCAAGCCATTCTCGATTCAGTTTTCGATCCGTATCCTTCGCTTTGCACTTTTTAAACAATAAGTAAGGACATGCCGAAAGCGTGACATCCCAATTTTTGACCAAGTCCAAAGTTTCACTGCAAAATTGAGTTAGTTCAAATTCGATAACCTATAATTTTAATATATCATGGAAAATTTCTCAATATATTTAATCATTTTTTATTTAACTTAAAGAAAACAAAAATTTCATGGTAAAATTTCATGGTCCGAGATAAGGATGGAAATCCCTTAAGACCATCTCTTCCAATGGAAAGTTCTTTGAGTCAAGACACCAACACCCCGACCATGCAGACATGAGAACACATTTAGAGCCGCGAACCAACAACTGATTGTCTTTATAATTCACAAGCTTAAGACCAATAAAACCTCCAGAAAAGACGGTATAAGAATCTCTGAAAAACAATGATACTCAGCGTCCTTTACATCATATTTGCAAATATATTCAATGGCATGAGGGAAGTAACAAAACCATGCAACTGGAATAGGGCAGTTCTATTCTCAATTTCCAAGAAAAGTGATAGGACGCACTAAAACCTCCTATTTACTAAACTCCCACAAGTGCGTAAGAGCTATACGCGCCCTAACCAAGCTGGATTTAAGTCATAGCGTGGATGTGTTGATCAAATTTTAATGCTCGGAAGAAAACTGGAACTTCGTTTCAAGCATCCAGAGTCCTCCGTTTTCATCAGTTATCAATTATCAACTTTATCATGATGCGATCGACGAGGAAGCATTCCGATAAGTCAAAATGGCGTTCCAGAGAAGATAATGAAACTCATCAAAACATTTTATCAGCGCAGTTTATGCAAACTTTTAAAATAATATCAATTATACGTTAGTAAAATACGTTAGTATCTGTTGTGTGTCAAGATTATATACTTCCTCTAAAATTTTCAATATTTCAATATACGTTTGGTTGGGCATCAACAGACCACCTTGAATGTGCTGAAGATTTTTTTTTTGGCCGACAGTTACAAGAAATTGCAACAGATATTAAATATGTCGAGTCGACACCAGCAGCAAAATGGTCTTTATAAATGGTTAATGGTAGTAAGAGAAGTAAGATAAAACTTTCTCGTTTTAAATAACTTACATAGACCTTATACACCAACCAGACGTTGGTAAATAAGAGTTGGTATCGCAATTTATATAAATTCATCAACAATCGAAGAAGTATCGGACATAGAAGAACAAATAGGAAAATGGAACCACTGACGGATCAAGAATGAAGAACAAATTATAACGATTTTCTTCTTGTATTCAATTCTTCTTTAGATATTTAAGCGACAAAACAGCAAATTTATACTTCTAAAATTTAATTTAAACTTCTAAAATTATAGTTAATAGTGAGGATTACTGTTCATCCCTTATTTGCGGAAAAATTCGATGATGCTGGCTATTTAAATTAACTTCCATCCTTAATGGACTACTTGGGATATTCGTTCAATATAGCTAGCCAACGAAGCGAGCTTAACTATAAATGTTCTGGAATCATGAAAAAGAGAATGTTATAGAGATATGGGAAAAATTGGGGTTCTTGCATTCTTCTAAGGTGCACTAATCGTCCGTGAAAGCTGCTGTGGTATAATCGAAACCACTGCTTAATCATATTTAGTCTTAATAAGAACAATTTTCAAATGTGAAAGAGGGCATCAAATGGCTTAAGTGTATTCCATCGTACGTCAATCTTCCAAAGGAGAAACTGAAATCCGAATCAAATGAATAAATATAAAGTAGAACGAATAGAAAGCAGAACATTATCCACTAATGATCTCTCCGCAACCCAACATCACACAATAGATGTTTTTAACAGATATATCTAGTATATTACATAGATTGCCTGACAATATTTGGTAGTTTCTGACATAGAAAGAAATTATCTCTGTGTTATACGTATATCTGACCATACAATAAATTAGATCAGAAGAGTTTCCTATTTCATTCTGAGGATCAAAACTGAGATACGCCATGCTTGCCAGTGCCAAAAGATCGAAAACTTTATGGTCTCTCTTACGTGTCATATGCGAAATGGCGATCTATTCGGACTCAAGGAGACTTAGTTCTTCCCTGCTTGATTGAATGAGCGCGAAATAATTGCCAGAGTCGGCCAAAATTCTCGTTTAGCCAACTTTAATATGCCAGTCTGAAATATCATTGCTCCCACTGCCTTATCGATCTAGTCAGAAGCAATGGCAAAGTCAGAAGCACTTAACAGTAGAGCGCTGATTCTTCAAACGATGTTGCAGTTCCCTTCTCAACTATTTGGTCAGCACAGCTACATCCTGGTCTAAATCTGGCATGGTTGGGATTCGTCTTGCTGTTAACTGTTAACTGTTGAGTTTATTTAGCAGAAAAGATAATACTTTGGTCCTTCCCACATCTTTCAGCCACCTTAAAATTACTAAATATAATGTGGGATTAAAAAGGTTTTATCATGTTCATGGTAGTGTCATAAGATTGTCATAAGCGTCCACCTCGTCACTCGCTAATCGACCAATTGACCAGCAAAAGTTAGCAGAGTTCGAATCCTTCCACTGTTCTGCTGGTATTTGAACACGAATACAATTAGGAACAAGGAGAATGCTATAGCGAAATAACTAATATATTATTACAAACACAAATAATGAACTACCAGATGAATAAAATATCTCAATGCACAGACAATACAAGTGGAGTGCAAAGCGTGCATTGTAATGCAATGAATGCAAAATAAAATCAAGGAATTCCAAATCCACGTCTCCCAATCCATTCCCTAACCTTTAACCTTCGACATAATAATCAACTTTTCAAATATGAAATATAGGCCTTGAAACATTTTAGGCCTTGAAACGAAAGTACGATTACTGTATTTTCTTTGTGAAAATTAATTTGTATTTAAACTTTGCATGAATGACATCTGATCAGCAATTATTGTTGTCTTTGAGTTGCAGGTGAATCTTATTTCTCTTTCCTCTTCGTTTCATTTATTCACCATAATTGCAATGTAATAAATTTTTCTATGCGTACGTGGGTGCAATCCAGGCTTATTTGATTTGTCCATGGCTCGAAGGTGCAGACTGCTAATTGCCTCAGGTGGTACCTCACTCTCCATTAGTGAACAGTTTTCCCAGGTCCCCAAGTCTAAATGGAGCTCCCACTATTATCATATTTGTGCTGTGTTTGCTCTTTTTAATGAACGCCATTTTATTGAAAATTCACCTCTGAAAAACGATAATTTTCTTCTCTATGCTTATCTTAGCTTCGCCAGTACAGCCCATAGAATTCCGAATATTGTATTGCGATGTCGATTTTTTTTGACTAGCAAAGTTAGCAGAGTTCTGATCTTTCACCGATCAGAGCCATATGGAAATGTCCAGGTGATTTGCTGAAATATTGATGAGGATATACTGATTAGCTCTCGGCGTCGCTTCATATATTATCCAGTGTGATTGTGAATTGTGTAATTGGATGGAAATTTGTTCTATAAAATTGCTATTATATAGCGTGACTTAGCTGAAGATTTATGGCAAACATAGAAATAACGAAACAGTTTCTCAAAATTTCTGTGAATATTTGTTTTTCAATACTTTAATACTATTTTGACTTCGCATTAATTCGTTCACGAATTTTCTCCAAATTTTTATTGGCAAAATCGCTTTTTGTTCTTATTTTTTTTATCAAATCTTTTTATTTTAAATTTTTTATTATTAATCGGGTTTTAATGAAAATAAGGGATAGCAAAAAATTTATCCAAATTTAGAATTTCGTTTTTCTTTAGGAAAATTTTATTTTTTTCCATATATATAATGAAATAATTTTTTAAAGGAACAGACAAACAAACTTTTTCAGGAATTTCTTAAGGATTGGTAAATGATTAATGAATTAACATTTAGATAGCTTTATTTTTAAATATTCAAATACTTCGAAAAATTTTGTTTAAAAACTTCATTAATATGCTGATCATCCTTTTTTGAACAGAAAAAAAATGGGAAAAAGCTGGAGGAATAATAGATTAAGAGTAAATTATATGTTCAAATTATATATTATATAGTTTTTTTTAGAAATTTACCGGAACAAGCGTATGATGGAATTCGCATAATTATAGAATATTGCTCAGATATTAATGAAAACTTTTGCGAGGTTTTATTTGATTGATAAATTTTTTGGTATTTTGTTTTATGGCAACGAAAGTTTTGCTTTTGTTTTTCTTTCTTTTCATCTTTTTCTACCTATTATTTCTTTACTATCATTTCTAAAGATTAAAAAATGGTATATTCTAAGAGTTTTAAGGTTTTTTCTAAATTTCCAAATTGCAGATTGGTCAGACCGAGACTATTATTGGCAGTTTAAATCCATCATTTGTTTACAATTGTCCTATTACGTTTCACTTCGAAAAATCGCAAAATCTTCGCTTCCAGATGTTTTTTTTTATTTATTGACTAAATGAAGAGATAGTCGAGTGGTGCCTCCGATAGAAGTAAATCTATCATTAAGAAATCCGGGCGATTCTGTCTACTTAGCTACTTCTACTTTTATCGCCAAGTCTTCCTGACCAAAATTTCTAATTTCTTATCAGCAAACGGAGCAAACCTAACCAGAAACAGTGGGTGGTGACCACTTATTATTTACTAATTACGAATGAAGTTATATGGTACTGTATGGTTTATTAGAAAAATTTATTCACATTTCTTTTTTCTTATTTTGTGATAATGGATTTGAGGGATGATTATTCAAGTGAATTTATTTCAGTAAAATTACAATGGATTTTAATGAATTAATGCATTATTCTGTTTAATCATTTTTGATTTGTTTAAATACTTTATTTCTTTGTTTTTTAATCTAATTCTTATAATTTACTATAATTTATTATTCATTGTGAAATCCCTTTCAGATATTCAGTTAATGGAACATGTGGAAGATTTATTTATAAAATTGCTGAATTAAAGTGTTCATTGGCCGAATTACTATTGCATGGCGGCTCTTTACAGTTGCCACTTTTTCCATCTCAGGGTGATTTTTGTTTGAACTTCTGAAAATTTTTATCTACATTTGCATCTGAAGCTTCTAAATTCCTTTTTTTGCCACATCTTTTGGTATTTTTGTCTAATGTGAGCTGTAGCAAAATAACCACTAGAAATACTTTTTTTAAAGTGTTATCTATAATTGGTTAAAATTGTTAGACATTGTTATTCCCTATATAAAAGTTGATAAGATCCATTAGGCTATAGTTTTTAAAAAAATTCATTTTATAATTACTTGAAAAATTTGGTTTTGCTCAAAATAAAACAAAGAAAGTACATTTTGGAGCCATTTATTCTATAATAATAGTTAATAATTATTTATTGGCAATTACTAAATTAAATCATTTATTAATATTAAATGATTTTATTCTATATAGGATCTTTATTATCAATCAGAATTAACAAGACGAAAGAATCAGCAGAAGCATTACGATTACATTTTAAAGCCGTCCATCTACATTCACCCTGTGATTCTTATCCATTGAACGCATATTTTATTATTTCATTGGCAGCAAATGGTGGGCTAAAATATTTGCTTTACAAAAGCGAACCTACTGCCGATAAAAATCCAATTTGGAAACCCTTCATAATACCTCTATCTAATTTCTTTTGTTCATCACTGCCTGATCGCCTTATCCAAATCGATGTATATAACAACAATATCAATTCAGAGTAAGTAAAATAAAATAAACAAAAGATTTCTGCAAAGAAATATTATAAAATAATTATTGTTTAAAAAATCACGAAGTGTTGAAAAATTTGATAGAATTGTGACCTGTGTGCTATATGAGCGGTTGTGCCTCAAAAATGCCCTGCTCATTAATCATTAGAAAAATCAATAGATTAGCAAAGCTATTTTTATCACTATATTATTATATTATATTTTATTACTATCTTGTAATTTATTACTTATTAATTATTTTTTACTTATTTTTTGTTATCAACGAATCGGCCAAGTTTTTTTTTTCCTTCTTAAAAATTTTTTTTATCTTTGAATTTCTCTTTTTAAATTTAATTTTATTATCTCTATTCTTTGGCATGAATAAACGTTATGATGTCAACAATCCTGTAGATCCACCTGTATCTCTATTCCCCAAGTGACTCTATGGTGAAAGGGTCAGGTCTCTTTGACGCGATGTCCGAGTCTTCCAGCGTGTATGCTACTTCCCGGTGGTACATGAATATGCAATCCAACCATTAATAATAATAATGAAATTCCAAGGTACAAACATATAATGTGTTCACAATCGGAGGTAAGTACTCAAAATCCAGGAAGGCGAGGACCTATCCGCTAACACTTTATAAAGCGTAGCGAGATGCTGGCTATAGTTGCTTGGAACGTCAGAACGCTTATGGACGTTGCAAGCCAAGCGATTACTGGCCTTTTTCTAAATAGTGCGTGGATGTGGCCTATTATCAGAGGTCTGTCTTCATCATGTCCTTCGAGTAATTATTAAACCTGGTTCCGAGCTAAGATATTGGTTAAATCACTGTAGTGTCTCGAATAACTCGGGGCGAAATGGCTTAGCGATTGTTATGTCTGAAAAGACTCGATCCGCTGTGATTGAATGGAAGCCAGTAAATTACCGTATGGCCTATGCGCGTTTCAAGTGAAAATTCTGCATTATTTCGATCATTTGTGTATATGCTCCAACAATTTTATGTGACTGCAATAAAGGTAAGTTTCTTTTTTGGGGAGTTTCAACTATTAACATCTTTGCCAAGAAGTGACATGGTTATAATTGGTGGAGATTGGAATGCGCATGTAGGCTATATGGAGAACGCTTTCTTCGTTTTGAAGAGCATGAAATCTTTGTTACTAATACGTGCTTTCGGCAGGAAACATCTAGTCACGTGGAACTCTCCAGACAACTAATATTCCAATCAGATTGATTATATATTGGTCAGTCACCGTTAGAAGAATACTTGGTAGTCTTTTTTATTGGGGTGCAAAATTGGTAACCGCCATGGATCAGATCATGTTATGGTTCGAGCCAAGATTCTTATAAAACTGATAAGTCGTAAGAAACAACGTATCTCAAGATCTTTCAACTATTCAAATTAAAAGATCCGGGAACAATAAGCTAATTTCAAACCGTATTATTGAAACACTTCAGTGAAATGAACGTCGATGACATCTCTGGAAAGGCGAATGAATATTGGTCCCAAGACACCCTACAAAATTCAACCACTTCCACACTAGAGTGTACTAGTAAGAAGTGCGCTAGTTGTGTGTCGGAAGCAATTGTCCAACTGTCTGAAAAAGTTGCCAAAGCCCGGAAGAGATGTTGTCTATCGGGTGCTTCGAAGAATTTTACAACGACGCATCACGTTGCAATAGAAATCGGACTGGAGTAATATGGCCTTGAGAATGGAGACGGTGGTCCGGATAGGTGATAATAGGAAATTGTTTCGCCTTCACAAAGCAACCATAACTCGAGAAGGGGTCAGTGAAATGATATAGGATATTAGTGGGGTGCCTATTAAAGGATCATGTTAAGGATCATCTCAGAAGATGGAAAGAATTTTTTGAGGCCAAATTTAACCACGATGCGCCGTCTGTTGTCCCGAATATTGCTGATTCACCCGTCGAGCCTTATGAGCAGCTGAGAAACGCCAACAGAAGAAGAAATAATCTCTCTAATCCATAAGCTTAAGGCCAATAAAACTCTCGGAGAAGGTAATCTTTGTGCCGAACTCTTCAAATGTTGTCCATTATCGTTTATAACTCACTTTAAACAAATGTATTCTCTGGTATGACAAGAGGAAATAATACCAGAAGACTGGGGCAAAACAATTGTGCTTCCAATTTCTAAGGAAGGTAACATTCTGCGACAATTACAGAGGAATCAGCCTACTGAACATCTCCGGAAAAATTTTTACTTCCCTTCTGCTAAACAGATTCATCGCAACACGAGATAGCAGAATTCGTCCTAACCAAGCTGGAATCAGATCGGAATGCGGTTATGTCTTCATGCTGAGGATGCTGGAACATCGCGTCAAATACCATCAATTCATCGTCACTTGCTTTATCGATTTTGCTGCCGCCCTCGATTCGCTTGATAAAGCAGTGCTCTGGAAACTGATGGAATGTGTGCCAGAGAAGATCACTCTTTTTTTAAAGGCATTTCATCAGCATACCCTGGCGCAGGTCAGTATATATGGGAAATTGACAAAACTGACATTTGAAATAAGAACTGGTGTCGTCAAAGTTGTGCCCTTTCTCCTACAGTATTCAACTATAGATTGGATAATGGGCGTTAGATTGGATAATGGGCGTTGCTTGTTTGCGCTAAAGAGGTGTGCATATCAATCCAGAGCATAGCATCACAGACCTTAAATATGCTGATGATGTAGTCCTTTTCGCTGAAAGTTATAAAGAAATGCAAATAATGTTAAGCGATGTGTTAAAAACAGCGAGAATTAACTCAAAATCATTGTAAATAAAACGAAAGTATTTTCGTCTACCTATTTTTATCAATTCATTATCGGTTGAGGAAATGCTTGACTCTAAATACGTTGGATCCACTCTAATCCCAAATGGCTTGATGGAATTGTAACCCGGATAGCCATATGTTTTTCTGGTTGTAACCTTTATGGAACCGTCGCGAAATCACCATAAAAACGAAAATCCGCGTCCATATAGGTGCAGTTGACTCGATCTTGCCCTCTGCTTGCGAAACATGGCCAATGAGAGTGGAAGCTATTAGCCTTTGACCACTCATGTCTAAGATACCTTTTACGGATCCATCAAACGGATAAAATCGCACATGATTGTATCCATCTTCACTTTAATACTGCTATTAAACTAGCTGTATTAATAATGTTATCACAGAGCGTCTTCGCCTTCGCTGATTAGAACATGTTCTCCGTCGTCTCATCACAGGAGTTTATGCATATTTCTTTATTTGTTAAACCCTGTGATGGTTGTTAAAAGCGAGGAGGACCATCCAAGACCTGGATTGATACAGTCAGGAAAGATTTTGAACGTATAGGGAGACCAGTTATATATGGACTTAAACGATGGAAAAAGGAATGGCTTTTTTACTACTAGCGATAGAGTCGGACCGAGGAGCTTGGAGTCTTATTCTTAGCCAGCCAGTAATGGTGAGAGCTGTTAGAAGAAAAAAGAAGTGTTGAAAAATTTACGATATTTAGAAATTTTATTTCAGATTCTATAAAAAGTAAGTAAGCTATTTTCATTATTTACCATTTAAACTCATTATTTGGTGTTGTTAACTTGTAATCGTTTCATTTTTTCTTAGCTAAATCTTGATAAATTTATAAGATTGGCAAGTTGTATTATTTTCATTTTTTATCAATTATAAGTAAAATTTGTTCATATACTTGCGAAAATAGCAGACTGTTGTTATAGTTAATCTAGGTCTTTTGTTCTTTCTTATTTTCAGAGATTTGCTCATTGGAAATGCAGTAACGACTCTTGACCAATTATTCAGAGGTGTTGGAGCCTTAAATAGCTATAAGGTCCTTTTTTAGCTCTTAAAAATAATTGTTAAAATGTATTTTTTAGTTCTATTTGTTTTATTGTGGTAAAAATTATGCATTTAAACAATGTTTTAGTTATCACAATCAGATCGGCGAAAGAAAGATCATTCGTCTGTGGAACTAATTGATTTACAACGGATTCCTTCGTTATCATTCATCGATTTCATTACTGCGGGGTACTGCGATTTCATTTTTGAATATTTTAGTTTCAAATTCGATTGCAACTTATTACTGGAATGTTAACTTTTGGCTTTTGCAGATTTCATCATTTAAAAAATAGGACATCAGATGTGCAATTACCAAGCGTAGTGTGATATCGAATAGATTATTTTTAAATTTATGCTACACCACTCTGATTATTAATTAAAATTTTTTGAATTAAATATTTGTTCTTTTTGTTAACCACTCCATTTTTAGAACACAGATCCATTTCTCAGTTGCAGTTGACTTTACTGCTTCGAATGGTAACCCTCTTCATCCATCTTCATTGCATTATATTCATCCTCACAAGTAAATTTTTAAGAGTTGAAAAAGAAAAATGTTGAAAGTCGGTTTTTCTAAAGTTTATCCAATTATTAATTAAAATACGTTTAGTCGAATTAGTTTTTGCTTACTCTGGGAAGACTAGATAAAAGAAATCTTTTTGATGGAATAGTTATGCTTAACTTAGAATTGTTTTCTTTAGTTTAATTAAAATTTGAAGATATAATCCTTATATGAAAGCTCTTTGTGCCATTTCGAATGTTATTGGAAAATACAATAAGCAAGATCGTATTGCCGCGTTCGGATTTGGTGCGCAAACGCCTCCGAAATATGAATTATCTCATTTTTTTTATATGGTAAAAGTGTCTTGGATTTTCCGTTTGATTTTTTTTGTTATTTTTGCTATGATTAAAATTACATTGTTTTTTTTATCGATTATCTTTTTATGGATTTCCGAAGTGATTTTTTTTAGAATGGTGATTCTAAAGATGCTCATGTTGATGGCGTCGATGGTCTTTTGAGTGCTTATCGTTCTTGCTTACTTACTGTTCGACCTTATGCTCCTACAGATTATTCTGAAGTTATATATCATGTGTACAAGTACATTTTTTTGCATAATTTCCTTTTTTTCTTTTTTACAATTTCCTAAATTCGATATATTTTGTTTTGTTCAATAATTCATTTATTTAATTTCTCATTGCAAATTTTTAAATTATACTTTGCATTATCCTTTTGTTTGGGAGCAACAATCAAGCAGGACAATCGGAGTCAAGTGCAAAACCAAGTATTGCAAATATTAAGCTATAGAGTATAAAATAAAATATAGGATGTAAAGGAATAAAGAGGAATTTTTTTTCGGAATGGAATGAAAAATTTGGTTAGATGCTGAGAAAAGCTGAACAACTTCACAATTAGTGTAAAAAGGAATAAGTACAGTCGTCTTATCAGTCCAGTTTATCTTAATGATTCATAAAAAATAAAAGTATATTTTACAAATCGTCGAAAAGGTATTTAAAAAAGATCTATCTTTCGACAAAAACGCAGAATATGGAACTGGAACTTATTTATTTATTTTGATCTATGAGAGATCTAACCATACTGCAGATTTATTCAGATCATTCATACAGATTTGATATTGTAATATAACAATATAAATAATAATAATGTAGAAAAATGTTGGAGAATGGTGTCGACGTTGGATGATGGTGATTGGTTAGAAAGTAGGAAAAATAATTGCCATAATCATGATTTTAAAGTGGAAAATATATATTTATCTTTATATATCTTTATATCTAAGACATATATCTTTATATATATCTTTAATTTTATATCTTTTTAATATCTTCTCTTATGAAATATCTTTTTTATTTCTTTTTTTCTCTTATTAAATATCTTTATATAAGTTCTAAATGAGTGGCGTAAGATTTATTTTTAAGGGGCAGTTTACAAAGATTGCTTAAAGAAAATGATTTATGAGTGAAAATCACTGAATATTTCATTGAATCTTTTGTTGATACTTCGTTCTATATATAAGTTAAAGTACATTAGAATATTCAAATTTTCAGGCTGACAATTTAAGTTAGTACAATCCATTGATTTTTTCTGATATCCTAGTTTTTGTGGAAAGTTATAGAGATCGAGTTATATTTACAGGATTTCGCATTAAGTCGACTTAAAAAATTTTTCTGCAAACTTTTTAGACTAATTTAGATTAAACTGGTAATATGATGCCCCATATTACTTTTCTAAAACGTAAAACTATGACCATTTAAATATTCATTTTATTCGAGAATATTTTTTAGATTTGGTGCTGCAGTACAACGCCAGAGGGCAAGTAATTATTATTTCATTCTGCTTATCGTCACTGATGGTTATGTAACTGATCAAAAGAAAACTATCGATGCAGTAGTTAAATGCTCATATTTACCGATATCAATTATTATGGTTGGAGTTGGCAAACGAGATTATTTATCAATGCAGCAGTTATTAAGTCCTTTACTCAAGTCTTCGGATGGCCTTCCTTTAAAGCGCGAAATCATCACATTCGTACCCTTTACAGAAGATTTGTCTGACAAGGATTTGGTTGCAAAATTATTGCTAAATATACCTCGGCAGTTTCTTTCTTGGGCTTCTCTCAGTGAAAAAATTGTTGCGTTCAGTGAATAAATATATGTATATATGTTTTTAACGCAGCATGAACTTTTTCTTTCAGATTAACCAAAAATAACGCTTTTTTTAATGGTTAATTTTGCAGAAATGATATATTTTTGCTTCAAGGTATTGAACAAATCTTGCCATCTTTAGCAGTATTTGTTTAGAAAAGGATTTAGATCCAGCAAACTTAACTGAAGAGATAAAATACCTACATCAGTATCAAGTGAAAGGCTTTTCGATTTGCAAACTTCTATGTAAATGAATAAAAACTGGAAAAATTATTTGCAGGAATGAACGTTTTGTCCAAGATTTTTCCATTTTTTGAAGTGGTTTATTTCATTTACATAGATCCTCATTGGTGTGTGGTTTTTTAAATAATTGTATTAATTGTTTTGTACGTTTAACAGTTAGCTTATTTACGAGTAAGTAATAGGTAATTGCTCGGACATTTTCACTCTATTGTCCATGTTTTTTCATTATATTTTATTCTGTAAATCTATTCAGGGATTTTGATTTGTTTTACAATTTTAAGTACTCGTTCCTTACTATTTGATATTCATATATCCATTTCTTGAGCATTTTTCATTCCCATTTCAAAATACAAATTCATGCAGTTGGAAATTTTTTTTTTTTAACTTTTTATAGATTAGTTATTTATAGATTAGTATAAAAGGAATTGTCCAATGGACGAGTGAAAATCTTCAGCTCATTAAAATATTTAAGACAGATATTAAGATTAATATGTTTGCAAAAGAATATAAGGGAATTGAGAGACCTAAGAAAACTAAGAAGATAAATAAATAAAAATTTGAAATAAAAAATTTGGCAGTGCAACAATAGGATACAACTTAGCTCGGAAGAGATGTTGAAGAATTGGAATGCAAATTTTCATGAGGAATAGCGAGATAACGGTGCTTCGCCAAAAGTCAAATTTTGATGTGTGCAGTTATATACTGGGATTTTAAAGGTAAGTGCGATAGGCTTCATAAAGCGAGGGGGGGATTTTTCGTAAATATATATATATATCAGCCATCTGTATATCCAGGTAGCCTGTTGATGTTCGCTCAAAGTTGCATTCTGTTAATACCATTTCAAACCGCAATTTTGATGATTTTGTACTAAGTAAATCCGCATTATTCGTCGTCGGTACCACCCGCTCAATCCAAATTTCATTTCCTGAATGCCACCAGTTGCAGTCCTTCGCAATTTTATAATTTTATAATTTGTCGTGCAGAAGAAGAATGACGGAGTTTTAAGGTGTTAAGAGAGGTTTTTCTCGAAATAAAATAGACTTTGACTGATATCCAGTTCATAATGGTGTGAATAAATAATGTATCATGTGCCGTGAAAAGTTTTATTAACTCAGCAAGAAGAAATAAATTAAAATTTCTGAAAAAAGTGACTTGCGTACTCGTTGACAATTTCACGGATTTGCACTGAAATACACAGGTAATAGAATAGACTGCCAAATACCAATATAATAGAACGATATGCAAAATATCAATTACATTGCGAATTGAAATACAGGATTGCGATTGAAATGTGCAATTACAATTGAAAGGCAGGATTCCGATTAAATATGAAGTAGAAACCGACTGGGAGAATAAACTGACCGTTAAAACCCGTATCCAGTCCGAACACTATAACACAGTCTGGTCTTTGGTCGCATTCTTTCTTGTTGTTTATAAGAAATGTTTTTTAAAGGAAAGAGATTTAGACGTATAATTTCCTTACAAATTCACAAAGGAAATTTGCATTCAAAAATATCTGATGTAAGCTTATTTACGATTTTAAGCATGGAAAATGCTTATTCGGTTTTTCCGACAACATGTTTTACACATTTGTAGCAGAACATATTTCATATTTCGTTGAGAGTGGCCTTATATATTGATGTGTTTCGATGCTTATATCGTTTTTCATAAGATTTCGGATATTCTGAATTTATTTAAATATCCATTTCAGGAGATGCCGATGTTTACAAAAAAGTGAAGCGTTTAGTGGACTCAGTGGACTGCAAAATGTTTTTGTTTATCAATTTTTCATTTTATCAGTTTTGGTGCTAATCCTATTTAATGTTATTCGCTGGCTATTGGCATGGTTAGAAATGAAATTTTTGCCAGGAAATCAGTAGAAGTAGAAATGAGTGGACAACACCATATGGATGAGCGATCCATTCCTACTGGTGGCACAGTCCGAATCCTTACCTCAACATGAATCATTGCCCATTCGGCCATTTTGCCCCATTTAAAATGATCGCTCGCATCAAGAAGCTTAGAATTTTCCGTTTCTTTTTTTATTTATTTTATTTGTCTTCAAAACCCTAAAAATTTCGAGACCAATAAATTTATAAAAATAACTAAATGAAATAGTATTAATGCTAGGAAATGATAGTAAATAAATACAGAAAATAAAAAATATTATTGAAATTAATAAAAATAATCAATAGGTCGGTCGTCGAGATTGTGAGCAGGTGGTAGATCAATATCGATAGCAGAAGGGGCATATGAGCGCGTGATTACAGATGGCGCTCCTGAAATTTGTTATTAGGATGAGAATCTTTCGCTAAAGAGTCACTTGTTAACATGCATCCAGCATCGCATACACAACAGGTGAATTTAAACATCATTAATTATATCCTTCTTAATACAATAAATATCTTTAATTCTTATAAATGCAGTGTAACTGAGATGACGTTAACCAACCATTTAAAGCGGTCGGACTGATCAAGGTAAGTTTCTATTTACTTTAAGGTATTCAGCACAAAATATTTTGCATTCAAAAAAAGTACCGGATGTTGAAATGATTCTTTGTTCATCTTCCATTTCCTGATCTTTTTGTTTCTTTCTTCGGTAAGAAATTCCATAGCGAACTAATGCCAATAAGCAAATGCTTATCAATAAAATCGTCATAATGATTGCTAAATTAATATAGAAATGACTTTTGGGAAATATGGTATTTTTTATCATCGACTTATCAGATTTCCTGATTTAACCCATCATATTCCATCATTTTTCCACTTAAGAGTTTCAATAACCATTGTTTTAAATCATTTTTGAGATTTAGCTGTTAAACTGCAGGGTAAACTGAAATATTACAGATTTTGGAAGATTTTGATGTTTAATTTATTAAAAAACAAAACATCGCTCAAATATATACAAACAAATACAAAGTACCTTTTCCAGAAAATCTATAAATTAACCGGAAATTCTCCTATGCTCTGTGAATATCTCCGTTGTACTATATTCCTTAACATCACGGATCACGGATCTTTAAAAATGCAATGGTGTTTGGTGGACTATTAAGTGGAAGAAATGGAACTTGGAAGTATTTTAAAATGTTTCGTAGCATTTGAGGCTTTTCCAAAATCCTAGAGGACGTTATAGGGTTTCAGTTTTTAATAGTGAATCACAACCATGTTTTCTCCAGTAAAGGCAAATTGTGATATCAAATGAAGAAAGAAATGAAAGAAAGGAATTACAACATAATTATAGCAAAGAAACTGGAGTGAATTAAAAAATAAAAGTTACCTAAGATGATCCAACCAACTAGCGACAAAGCATTTCCAGTAAGAGGCAAAACTTGTTCGTTAATGGGGCAAAAATCATTGTTTCGTAAAGGTGTGCCTGGTGGTGGACAACTATTAATTGGTCCCATGCACACTGCTATACATCCTGGTTTATCAATATCAATATCGACATTCTCTCGAAGATATGCGCGAAACCATTCAAGTGCCGAATTGCAAAACCAAGGATTACCGCAAACATACATCACACGTCTGTCATTTGGTACTGGTAAAAATGAATTTTCGAACTCATTCATTGGCAGAGTTCTTAGTTGATTGAAGCTGAAAAAAAGTGTTCGATAAGTAATTAATTGTGCTTCCAAAAAAAATGGTTAAGGATATTAAAATTTCTGTTGAGCCATTTATTACCAAAATTTAATCGAAATTTTTAATTAACCATTAGCAATGGATGCCAAAGATTATTTATTTATTGATAACCAGCCAAGCAGGGCGCCATGTGCTTGTATTAATAATAACAGTTAAGATAATAGAAAAAGAAAACACAAAAAATAACAAAATAAAATTAATTATAAAACAATATGACAAAAATTAACAATTTAAAGAGAAAATTACAGATCAATATAATATAGTACAATTCGAGGTAACATATATAACCTGAAGATAAAATCGAGATTTCTCACTTCCTGCAGTTCTTGCCTGGTGTAAACTCTTCTCTATTTTTTTTTGTTTTTAAATAATATCGTAAATGATATTATCTAGTCTTTTTTTAAAGACAGCCAAGGATGACGCACAAGCTACATCGTTCGGTGATTTGTTCCAGTAACTAATAGTACGAATAAAGAAGTCATGACTCCTTAGTTTAGTTTTGCATATAGGTTTTAGTAATTTTAAGCCATTAGTTCTTGTTGGATTCAAATTTAGTCTAAAGTTATAATATTTCGAGCAATCTAGTTTAACATAACCATACAGAATCTTATATGTGTAAATTAAATCTTGTTTAATTCTACGAACTGAGAGAGAATCCATGTTATATTGTAGAAGTGTTCTTTTATAATTAAAATTATAATTTTTATTAGGAGAGTGGCGTCGTAGAAAATATTTTTGGAGTCCTTCAATTATTTTACCTGTTTTGCGATGTCTAGGGGAGTAACATGTAGTATTGTAGTCAAGAAGAGGCCGAACGAATGCTTTGTATAATTTGATAAGAAAACTTTCAGTTTTGTTCTTAAACGAATGAAAAATAAAATTTAATATCCTTGAGGATTTCTTTACTATGGTTCTGCAGTGAAGATTGAAATCGAGATTTTCATCCATGATTATTCCAAGATCGGAGATGTGTGAGACTCTATTGATTAAATTACCATTCATAAAAAACTTAGGAAGATCGAATCCTTTAGAGTTGATGTGAAGAACGCTACATTTTTGAAAGGAAAGGGTAATTTGCCTGTCATATAGCCAGTCAGCTATTCTGTTGAGATCCTCCTGCAGTGGAGATAGGTTATCCGCTCTACCATGAGAATAATAAATTTTACAATCATCAGCATAAAGATAAATAGTAGAATTTATTACCACTGTGGTGATATCATTTATATATAATAGAAATAGCAATGGCGCAATACAACTGCCTTGGGGTACGTCTGATTTAACAGGTGTCATGTCAGAAAGAGTGTTGTTAACATATACAGCCTGGTAACGATCTTTTATGCAATCTGAAACCCAGTTATAGAGGTCCCCTGTTATGCCATAACTATTAAGAGTGACCAATAATTTGCTATGGGAAACAGTATCAAAAGCCTTAGCCAAATCTAGGTACACAACTGATACTATTTTTCCATTGTCAATTGATGCTGACCAATCAGAGAGATTTGCCAATATTTGTGAAGAAGTAGATTTTTTTGTACAAAAGCCATGTTGATAAGAAGATATAAAATTATTGG